AGTTTTCTACTTGAATGACCATGTTAGAACAACTCAAGTTTGCAGCTATAACTGATATTTTATGTTGAGGAATATAAATCTATACCTTCTGTGGAAGACATGAACATTTCTGTTCAGTTATCTCATTCGGAGGGGTTTGGTAATTGTAGTTTTCATATGTGTGATAATAGCTAAGTGAAAAAGAAGAAAACAGTGAACTGTATTGGTTTGTAAAAGAAGACTCAGGTTGTTTTCCTGAAGAGAGTCTTGAAATAAAACAACATAACCACACCATCGATTCCAGGTTGCTGTGACTTGTACGGTTTGCAAGCGAGCTGAAGATACAAAATTAGAAAACCCAGCCACACTCAGGGGAATATTTGAAGTGTATAAAGTGTATAAAACTTGGGACTTAGCAACAAAGGACATGAATGAACATCCAGAAGGCCGCCTTACCCTTCCTTCTGCTTAGAAATAATTTTCCAGACAATGCCTGCCCCCAGGAGAAGCAGGACTGCTGCAGCTGCGACTCCTGAGAGGGAAGAGGGCGTATTATTCCCACGGTATGTTTTCAAGCATATCAGCACAAAACACATAACGAGGCACATCTTCGAAGTAAGGAGGGGGAAACGGTGCCACTGAGGCCACTGCATAAAGCTAAAGATCTGGCCACAAAAATGGTTCTGATCTACTTACCTAGGCCTACTGAGCCAGACTTGCGTGACGCTGAAGGGAAGAGAAGAAGAAAAATCAGCAAACTATTCTAACAAAATATGGTGTTTCTCAACTGTAGTTAATCACTTTATCAATGAAGCTTTTACTGCTAAGGCTTATAATACAGGATTTCTTAAAAACCACACTTATATACTTTTTTTTTTATATACAGAAAGACATTTGCATGTTTAAAATGCATTTGCATGTTTCTGTTTGATCTTTGCTTCGTTCACATTTCACTCACTCAGTTTGCAGGCCGGTACGGGAGGGTCCCAGCTGAAGTCCTCTTGGCACTGAATCTGACTGATACCTTCCAAGGTGTAACCATCATCACATTCAAGAGTGATGTTAGTCCCAGAGCGATAAGTATTTCCTTTTATGGCTTTCTTAACACCTTGAACTTCTGGGAATACACATCTGATCTCTGAAATTAGAAGTAACAAAAAAAGGACATTTAATGAGAAGGAACATAAAATATGAGAAATACCACTGTGGGTTATTTAAGACATTGTTCTTGAATTCTTTCTGAATGTAACCAGGAATTAATTTGTATTCCACGGGGTAAATTCCTTTCTTTGTGGCTGCAGAAGAGGGTAGGCCTCTCACTCTCACATGTGAATATTTGTACAGATCAGCTACTCCACACTGATACTGCATGTGGAAGTCGGGTGTAGTAGGGGTACCTTGGGAGAAGCCTGCCAGAAAAAGATTTTTCTGATACTGGGCTACCAAAACATTTGGAGAAGAAAGGTGTAGCAGGGAAGAATTCTGTGGGAGCTTTAGAGCCAACTGCCTGTAACCCAATTCTAGTCTGTAGAAGTCCCTTGCCCTTAAAAGATGTCACCAGCCATATTATTTATCAATAATTAATTTATTAATTAGTCCAACCATCTAAGCTATTTATACCACTGATTTCAATTAAGTGAGTTAGTTGCTTCAGTTTAAGTGTCTAATCACCTTTGACAGTCCAAGCCCAGGAATTCTGGAGGAGAAGGTTCTCAGTGGAGACCAAAGAGATCAATGTGTAACTTTTAACCTTTGTTTCGTGTCTTTTTTCTAATATTTATTTTTACTTTCACATGTAATTGTTAGTAAGGATACTTCAAAACCACAAGAATGTGGAATGTCAGGGAGAATTTTTCTGTGATACTGCTTCCTTTAAAGAGCCTCTGACTTATTTACAGAAGCTTTTGGTACGGGATTTCCTCTCTTTGTTATCCAAACTCTTTTCAACTCTTGAGTCACTGAGGTGGGAGCAGCTCCACCAAGGAAGGCACCCTGTGTGGGTAATGCATTTATTCTGGTGAATGTCCAGTTTTCCGTGCAGGAACACCCGCGCTAGGAATCTTGTGACTTTCGTGAAATTGCCTTTAGTCAAGTTTGCCCGATGACTGACCTTCACAGTGAGCTACACAGACATGCCAGGTCACAGATACAGAGGCATTTTCCAAGAAGGGAATAGTCAGGCTCATGTGTAATCTACAGACCGTCCCTCAGAGACAAATGCTCTGATATAATAATTTCCTTTGTTGCCTGTTAGTGATAACTGGGGAGTGAGAGACACAAAAAGGGAAGGGAAAAAATTTCTACTCTTCTATTAAAAGTAAAAAGGTTTTAATGGAGGAAAGTTACTATACAACTCATTCATAGCAACAAGAGCAGAGATGGAAAACATCCAAGAATTAAAATTGCCTTCTAGAATTCCAAACAACATGGGCAAACTAAGCACTAACACACCTTTGCACCGAGGAGCAGGCTGGCTCCAGGTTCCTGACACCGTGCAGTTGATGAAAGCATTCCCAACAAGTGAATAACCAGGATTACAGCTGTAGGATACAGATGCTCCATAGGAAAAAGAGTCAGAGATGTTGCCTTTGAGCTTCCCGTTGGTGATGTTTGGAGGATGGAGACACCTCACAACTGCAAAGTCAGGGAGAGACAAACGAAAGTGTTGACAGGAGGATCCTGATGGACGGCCAGAGAGTAGCTAAGGCACCGTACCTTTGCAGCCTTGATTGTTCCCTTTTAATTTCTTCACCTAGGCTAAATAACTGATTTTGTAACCCTGTAACTCCATCAGGCTTTGGAAATGGGCATGAACTTGGTCTTGTTCTTATCACTCATTCTGTAGTAGAGGACTTAGATTTAGTCCTTATACAAACCTTTCCCTAAGGCAAGTCATGTTAAATGTCCTTTCTTCTTAGCTCTCTACAACAAAAACACACCTTGACAGATCGGAGAAGGATGGCTCCAGGCTCCAGACTCTGTGCAAGAAATGGATGCAGTCCCAATGAGAGAGAAGCCGGGCTCACAGGTGTATCTTACAGATGTTCCAGGAGTGAAAAATGCTTTTGCTGGGCCACTGAGAGACCCGTGGGCGATATCTGCAGGCTTGGAACAGTGCAGCACTAAAAAGAAAGAAGTGCAGATCAAAACAGAGCTCAGACAGGCAAGACGGGAAACTTTTGAGCACCTGTGGACAGCTGTACGCTCACTGCCACAGCTCTGAATCCAACGCAGAGAGCCAGCCCTGCCCAACCCTCTGCGCTCACTTCACCCCTAATCCTCTATAAAGCATATGGCATCACACACATTTCTTCTTACACAAAGGAATATTGCCCAGCATCACCCTTCCCAGTGTATCAGATAAGAAGAGTGAGAGGTCTTTTGGGACATGAGCAGTCTTGCATTCAATTGTAAGGATGTCTCCAGGCCTATAGAGGGACTCCAATCTCATTGCTTTTGCATTCCCAACTCTTGGGCTCACAGCCAACTGTGGACAGCGAGGGTGTAAAGAACCCTTTAGACTGTGAGCTTGTGTGCGATAGAGACCACAGAGTCCTCATTCTTGGCCACAGAGACCTCATTCTGTCTTCAGTGGTGGAGTTTGTTGAAGCAGCAGCTCGTTTCAGCAAGTCCTTAATCAAATACCACTACGTGTTTAACACATTTAGAAAGTTGAGAAGATTCCGTAGAGAGAGCACAAACAGACCTTCGCACCGAGGAGGGGGATGGCTCCAGACTCCGTATGCTGTACAATGAACAGACTTATTCCCAATGAGGGAGAAGCCGTGTTTGCAGTGGTAGTGCACAAGTGTTCCTACATCAAAAGTGTCTGATAAAGGACTGCTGTGTTCCCCATTAGCGATGCTTGGAGGGGGCCGACACTTCACTACTGAAAGAGGAAAGGGCGAAGGTGAGAAGGTGACATTAAATTGTAAAAAAAGTTATAATAAGAGAATAAAAAAGTGCAATTAACCCTCTTCACTGCAAAAAGCAGGACAGGTTGGGAAGAGGACGTAGCGTTTAGTAAATCTCGCCTCTTTTTATAGTAGACCTACCTGGCTTCGTTGTGGTGTCAGGATGATGATAGTGTTCTGCCACTCCATCTAGATGCAGCATTAAGAGTTTAAAATACACATTTGGTCGAGCAAATACAATGCGCAAATTTACCTTCATTTTCCATCATCCTGCCTTTATATTTCCAGCAAAAATTTCACTCCTCTCTGATAGCCAGTGTCCTGCCATGAAGCTACCAAATTTCCCACTTTCAGGAAGTGAAGAGAACACGGATTATGGATTGCAACAAGCAGCGTGAGAAAAGTGCAAAACATACTTATACTTACAGCATTACCCAAAACCTGGCTTATCTCCTGTGTGAGAAGAGAGGCATAAATAAAAGGAACAATTTCTGGTTTCTCCTTAAAGTATTTGGAGCAAACAGGAAAAATGAAGCCAACCTTGGCTTCAGTGAGCGGGTAGGAGCAGTCGGGGAGGAATCTGCAATGCTAACGAGTCAGAGTGCGGACGCTTACCCTGCTCGCAGACTGGTACGGGTGGGTCCCATGTTTTATCAGCTTGGCACTGGGCTGTGCGATGGCCTCGCAAGGTGAAACCTTTATGGCACTTAAAGCTAACTGTATCTTTGTATGTGTAGCGATGTTTAAGAACAGATACTCTCCCATTCTGGATCTGTGGGGCTGGACATGCCACCTCTGAAAAAGAAATTCGTTATCTCAAAGAGGAAGCCATATGTATGCTATAATTGATGCATATATAAAGTCTGTCCTTAACGTGCCACTGCTCAGAGGAGTTTCACAGGTGCTTGGAGACTCACAGAAGAATAATTTCAAGGATTGAGGGCTTTTTAGTTCCTTTAGGTACCCTAGGTTTACCACATTATTGTATATATAAACATAGTTTTGTGCCTACAAGCAGAATAATGCAAATACATTCCAATAAATATATTAAATGGTGTAGAAATCCATAAGTGCTGTTAGTCATTCTCATGATTGCTTTACTATACCAAGCTCATGCCTTCCAAAGCAATTCCATCTGAAGGAAAGACTAATTGCAATGATCAACCCCTGCAGAACAGCCTTGTGGTTTGGATAACAGTACAGTATTTGGAAGAGCCCAGTTCAATTTTACTCAATATCTCACTCTTCTACTGCAAGGCACATTTCCTCCGTAATTTATTATTTATGTTTGTGAAACAAAAGGGACAAATCCCTGCAGGCATCTTACAACTCTTCATTCTACATAACTCCGAAAGATCAAAAGCTAGCATCTGGAAGATTTTTAGAAGAAACCAAACAAGCAAACAAACAAAAAAAATCCGAGAGGAATATTATGCTTAAAAAGTCATTCCTCAAAGCTCTATTTATTTTAAGGAAATGCCACTTTTTAATTTTAAGGACTTAAATTGGCAATTCTGGGCCAGATCTAGTGGTGACCTACTTACTCTGACAAATGGGAAGAACACCACTCCATGCGACATCTGGTCCAAAAATCTCACATCGCCTATGAGACTGTCCGACCAGTCGGTGCCTGGAGTTACAGAGGAAGAAATATCAGCTGATACCCAGTCATTCAGCTTGGATTTTGCACTCCCACTCTGACACTACCCCCAGAGGTGTCCTTCTGCAGCCTCCTGATTCTGGCTGGTCACCGAGGTGTTTCTGTTGGTTTGACACATGGGAATGAAGGACACCAAGTTCCTCCTTCCCGATCCAAGAGGAGCAGCAATGATCCCCAGTTACTCTGGGTTAGATTGGTCAGGTGCTAAATCAGGACTCAGACCCAAGTGATTTCCAAACCGCTGGAGCCTCCTTGCAGCATGTGCTTGCTTGCACTCTCAGCTCCTTGCAACTCTCTTCTCCATCTGAGAAGGCAGACTGAAACTGAAGTTTGCAAAGTAATCTATTGAGCACAGGCAGGGAAAAATGAGAGACTTCTCCCTTTCCTGAGCAGGTGACTATGGCATAACTGGAACCAAAATACAAATTCTGGCCTGCTGTGGGAGAACGGCCTGCGCAGAGGAGTGGGCTCTGAGCCTTTACTGTAAGTCGCCCAACACTGAGCTCAGAAATGGAGTCAGCAAAGGCAGCGTGGGACTCACCCTTCTTCACAGGTGTGGCTCACGGTTGACCCAAAAAGGAGATCTGTCAGAACAACAACTCTGCCATTCTTTGGTGTTTCAGGGTATTTACATTGCTTCCCTGGGAAAGAACAAGGCTGAGTTTAAACTCCTCTCTTGCAGTTTTGCGATGCACTATGAGAAGGTATCTTAAGGATCTGTCCACATTCAGACACCAATAAAGACGTGATTTTTAAAGGCCAATAGCTGCCCAAACTATGTGACTAGTGAAGCCATGTATGAATCGTTTTTTAAAGAATTCCTTTAAGAAACCCACAAAAGTAACTTAGACAATTTTCAACAACCAACACCAAACTGATTGAGCTATTCACTTTTACAGAACGCTAGCGCTTCAGACCACGTGTGGTTTTTGAGGCATGTCAGGGTTGGGGGTGCTCCAGGATGTCTCGTGTATCCCGGCCGGCAGCTGTATCGCACGGTGTCGCCAACAGGAAACTCCGTCAGGTGTTCGTATTCCTCAGTTAGCTCAGCAAAGGTTAAGTTTGGAGGTGCTCCACAGCCACCTATCATTAAAGAAAACACAGGGAAAAATAGGGATATCAACCACACAAAGTTGTTTTAAAATGTATATTGACTATGTGCAGATAAAAGTTTACAAGAAAAACTGACAACAACAGGGAAGGACTGAAGGATTCAACATTTTGGGAAGAGTGAGGGAAAGGATGAGTCCTACAGGATTTCGAAGGCAGAAATTCCCAGACTATCCATAACTCCAGCCATTAGCTTGGAACCACTGAGTACCTGCACACTGAGGAAGAGGGAGGCTCCAGTTTCCAGAGTTGGTGCAGTAAATCGATGCCTCTCCCAGGAGGCTGTAGCCAGGGTCACAGCTGTAATTTACCACCATCCCAGTAGTGAAAACTTCCAAGTCCTGGCTGTTGTGATTTCCTTTGTCAATGTTTGGAGGTGAAGGACATTGCGGCACTAGAGAGAGGACAAAACAAAATGAAAAAAGGGGATGGACAAGGTAACATGGAGGAAGAACACATGCACATCCCTATGTGTGCCCTGCCCTGCCCGCAGCAGTGCCAGTGGGGACGGACGCGCGCGCACCGCAGAGCCCTACCTCCGCACCGTGGCGGCGGCCCGCTCCACACGCCATGCTCCCCGTCCGCCGTGGTGCAGAAGATGGAGGGCTCTCCAGACAGCGGGTGGCCGGCGTCGCAGGTGTAGGTGACCACGTCCGCATAGGAGAAGGTGTCCGTCAAGTGCCCGCTGTGTCTCCCGTGGGGGATGTCCGGAGGCGGATCTCAGGTTGTGCCTGTGGGCGCGCACAAGGTGGCTTTCAGCATCAGCGCTGCAGCAGCACCCAGGGTCTGCAGGACCCCCACGCTGCCCAGGCAGGGGACCGACGGGGATGAACCTGTCTCAGCAGTGATGCTCTCTGGATACGATGACCAGAGACAAACCTTGTACGGAAAAAATCACATGTGGGAAGGAAAACCTGAGCCCTCCTGTGAATCACTTCCTTGCAGCACCACGTCCATAACCATTGGTGACACATGCAGAGAGAGACTGGCCACGCCATTCCTACCCATGACCAGTGGGAAGTACTTACCCCAGTAACGGAGCGTTTAAAATATTAACGGTTTTCCCAGTTTGGACCAGGATAAACAAAAGACCTTTGGAAACCTTGTCAGAAACGTCCAAACCAAACCAAAATGAAAAGAAAAATGAAAGATTTTACACATACAGTGCATTTTTGCAATGAAATCGTTGTCCTGAAAGATGTGCCACTGTCTCTTGCAAGCCATCCCCAAGGGCCTTTTGTTGTGGCCTACTTACGCTGGCAGACAGGAGCATCTCCACTCCACGAGACGTGCGTGCCAGAGACCTCGCATGTTCTCTGAGAGCCTCCAACCAACTTGTACCTGGAGTCACACGGAAAGATTTATTAATTTACATTCGGAGACTCGAGATTTCTTTGGAACCCTTGTAAGGGGCAGCCAAGACTCGGGAACTACGTTCCTTCACGTACATCTGAAAGCCTGCTTTACTTTCACTTGGCAGCTGAATCCAGCTCGTTGCAAGACTTACTCACCCTATCTCGCACGTGTAATTCACTTTGGACCCGAAGAGGAGGTCGGTCAGGACAACAGCTCTGCCGTTCTGCGGATCCCCGGGGTTAGCACATTGTTTCCCTGGAAGGGAACGTCGGCCCCCATGAGCCCTCAGCTGCTCACTCGCATCCCACCCAAGGATGCTGACGCAGCGAGCGGACCATAAAGCCAGAGAAACGTGAAGATCCAGCCAAGCCGGACGCTTCAGGCGTTTCGGCACTTGCAGGACGCACTTTTACAGAACTCCAGTGCCACGGACCACGTCCGATTCCTGAGGCATGTGATGGCCGGCGGCATCCCCAGGTGCTGGGCGTAGCCAGGCCGGCACACGTATTCCACCGTCCTCCCCACGGGAAAGACGGTCTGGTTGCTGTACGGCTCCTTCAGCTCAGCAAACGCCAGGCTGGTAGGTGCATTGCAGCCAGCTGCCAAGAAAGATAAGCCAGCCCAGTTGTCAAAGGAGTCAGGAGAAAGCAGATTTGGGAGAGCGGGGGAAGGCTAACATCCGGAGCCCGGTTTGAACACTTGCCCTGCTCGCAGACTGGCACGGGTGGCTCCCAGGTGTTATTCAGTTGGCATTGTACCACTCCGTGGCCACGTAGAACATAGCCTGGCTCACACTCAAAGGCGATGGTGTCCTTGTGTGCGTAGGCAGTCCTAGGAGACACTATTCTCCCATTCTGGATGCGCGGGACGGGACACGTTGCCTCTGGAAAAGAAGCGCAGGTCCTCAAAACGGGCGCTTACGCAGCAGCGTGCAGAGCTGTGCAGCTGCAAAGCCGCTGAAGACGTGCAATCCCTTTTTAGACCCGAGTCTGAAAATCCTTTTCCTATAGATGCCGTACTGCCTGCATGCAGCGATGTCAGACATGGAGGGCGGCACCCAAATGGGAAGGTGAGGCTGGGGGTGCTGGAGGCGGTGGGGTGCTCCTCCAGCCTCCTCCCCTCTGCCTGGCCACAGCTGCAAACCAGCCCGTGCAGACCCTGCCCTCGCGGGCACATGGGCAAAAAGTGCAATTGTCTGGAGGTTTCCTGGGCTTTCCGAACACGAAGCAGTAGGGCCGGGAGGATTGCACGCGAGTCTCAGGACATGCAGACACCAGCCTACCTCCGCAGTGCGGGGGGGGCCCGCTCCACACGCCGTTCTCCCCATCCCAGGTGGTGCAGTAGATGGAGGGCTCTCCGTGGAGCGGGTACCCGGGCTTGCAGCTGTACGTTACAGATGTGCCGAAGAGGAATTCATCCAGCAGCTTGCCCGTGTGCTTCCCGTTGGGAATGTCGGGCGGTGGCTCACAAGGGATACCTGCAGAGGTGCAGAACAAGGCTTCTAAATTCAACAGCAGCACCAAAGTACTTTAAATCCCTCAGTCTGTGGGGCATAAACACTTGTCCTAGAGATGATGTAATGGCAATGAAGCAGCAGCAGCTGGGATCTGCAGGACACCCACGCTTCCCAGGATGGGAACTGACGGGGATGAACCCATCTCAGTGGTGATGCTCTCTGTCTTTGCCTTGGAAGATATTTTCCAAGGAAAGCACCCAGCTGAATCTCTTTGTGGTGTGATTGGTTCCTCATCGCGCTCTGCTCAGCTCCTGCCACGGTGTACTTACTCTGGCAGATGGGAACATCACCGCTCCACCTCACTCGCGTCCCAGAGCTCGAAATCACACACTGCCGCTGGGACACTCCAACCAGCCTGTGCCTGGGGTCAAGCAAAGTCACTTTTGTCACTACAGGACTGTCTTTGGAGGTTGCATCTCCCACAGCAACCAAGTATTGCCTTAGTTGCCATCTAATGCTGCCATTTTAAAGCTATGACCCTTAGGTTGCATGGGGACTCCCCCCGGTCCCCTCGGTCAGCACAGGCAGTACATCCCTGGGGGGCTCAGGGAGCTGCCGTGCCCTCTCCTCTTCCTTCTGTCCTCTAGAAAAGTCCACTTTAACGACTTCTGGTTTAAGGCAAAGCTTCCAAAATAACCCCCCCTTTTCCCCTCATATGCTCCACACTAGCAGACTCAGGTGGTCGTGCCCTCTAACTGGCACTTAGAAATTTATAAAGAAATCCCCTTCTCCAATTGCCGGTGCCATTGGGACGAGAAATTAGACTAGAAATAGACCCTTGCGATGACCAGAATTGTTTAGTGTCAAAACTGTTGTAAACCACCCAAAGGATTCTGAGGTTTTTCCCTGATCATTTGGATGATTTCTCTTTTCTCTCAGCACCCGAGAGCTCCGGTTTCTCCTCCAGCATCGCCTTGTGCAGGCAACGCTGGGGTGCTCTGAGCTCAGAGACACGAGCACCCGTCTCTTGTGGGAAGACACGCGGTGCCTGCGGGTTGCAGGGAGAGCAGAAGCATTGCTGGTTTCATCGCAGTGAGGCGAAGGAGCTCGGCTGGGGCTCACCCTTCATTGCAGGTGTAATTCACTGTTGACCCAAAGAAGAGATCCGTTGTAACAATAAGTCTGCCGTTCACCGGTTCTCCTGGATGATTACACTTTCTCCCTGGGCAGAAGAAGACCTGGGTTTAAGCTGCGTTAACTCAATGCCATAGGGAAAGGGTCACTAATTCTGGGAGCCTGCCCAAGGGAGGAGGGAACCGAAAGGGAGAAATGACAAGGCTTCAGTCATCAGGCTGCAATTTAAACAAACTAGAAACATCTGCAAAACATACGTTTGCAAAACTCCTGGGCTTCAGACCACGTTTGATTTTCAAGACACGTAAGAGTTGGTGATATCTGTGGATGTTTTGCATATCCAGGCCGACAAGTGTACTTCACAGTCTTCCCAACAGGAAACTCCGTCTGATTTTTATACTGCTTGTTTAGCTCAGCAAACAGTAATGTTGTTGGTGTCCCGCAGCCAGCTGCCAAGAAACAAAATACACATGAGAAATACCTGCTGGCTGTGAAACGCAGCTAAAGAGAAACAAGCACATTGGGAGGCACTGTTACGAGCCCCGAGGTGTTAATATCTCTTCTATGTATTCTGACATTTACCGACAGAAATTAACACTTACTTAGCATGGAAGGACACATGCACCCAATTTATACATTCTTAAAAAAATGAAACAAATCACCGCCCCCCGCAAACCAGTTTAGCCAGTTTGGTGTTTCCACACTCTGCACATCCTACACTGCAGCGCTGCCACCATACAGCGTGTTGTCTGTGTGCCACAGAGTGCGGGATTCTGCAATTTCAGAACTTAGGCCAGCCAAGACCGTCTCCTCGCGGGAAGCCATGGGCTTTAGCAATGCCACCAGGTTATTGCCAGTGCCACCAAAATGAACACGTGCTCAGACCCGTGGGTGTCACTGGATGTGCACTTCACCCCCCACCCCACCCCCCCCCCGCCAGTTCTGCAGGTTGGGAGGGGTGCCTGCTCCCCGGC